AGACAATGAATTTCATTTGGGACATGTCAAGTTAGAGGCACCTCCATTAGAGATGTTTGGTGAGCAGCTCTAGGCTTGTGTCATCAATAGAATGATGCGAGAGACCTAAGTTTTGAGATCTTCAGCTTGTAGATAACATTTGAGACCAGATATCTCTCTCAGTAGAGCACAGAAATTTAAAGAGAGAAAATGTGACAGTGACATAAAGCACATGTGAACGAAATAAATCACATGGAACAGAGGTGGGGGTGCAGCATCCCAGGTGAAACCTGAGCATGGGAACTGTGGATTCAGTGCCTGCATTCATTCTGCTCCCCTGGCTCAACCACTGTGTAATTGTGTGGCCTTAGGTAAGGTTCTTACCAGTTTTGAGTCTCAGTTTCTTCATCTGTAAAATAGCAACTACCTCAGAGGGCATCATGATACTTAAGTAAATCAGTGTTTATAATGCATTTTGAATAATACTTGGCTTTTACTAAATACAGCTTAACATTTTGTGAGTTACAAAGCAGTGTAATTCCTTTAGCCCCAAATGTTGATCTTCGCTTCACATTCTATTTTATTTCTGTACTATGTCTTATTTTTCTGAAGGCTATAGTTTGTTTATCTGATTCTACTCCTAATTCTAGTGGGTCCTGAATGAAGTATTATTCAGTTCACTACCTATTGCGTATAAAAGTAAATCTTAGGAAAGATAAAATCAATCCCTTTCTTCAAGAAACAATTACCTTATAGAAAAGCTTAGGAAAATTCTCTCTGGGCGTATCACAATATAATCATCTATTTCTAAGGATTAAATTGACGAACAATTTTCTCCAGAGGGTTGTTTCTCCGAGTAGTTTTCTTCTTTTACATTTCTTTTACTTTTCAAAATGAAAATTACCAAAATGAGCTTTTCAAACATTCAAGCGATTTTAGCTGTTACAGTTAACAGCCTGTCTGGCATAGCCATGACCATCAGAGCCCACTCTGTGGAAGACTTAGATACTTTAAGTACATAATTTCATATACTTCACAACAACCCTTTGGGCTGGCTATAATGTCTGCTACAAAATTGAGGAAAATAAGGTAAGTCAGAATCTTTGAATCCTCTCAAAGCTAAGGAAATGGACTGGGTATAATGAACCATAACCAAGCAATTGGTTACAAAGGAGAGCATCATTCAGCCATTGTCCATTGTCACTTTCCTCTGTTGTCTGTCATTATTGGGAAGATGAGACATATGTTAGGATTGCCTGATGGAAGATTCCCTTCAAGATTTCCTGCTGAAAAAAAATTCTGGTACATATGACTTGCCTTCTCTGGCTTAGGCTAACTAAAAGAGTTTCTATTTTTTTTTTTCTGCTTTGTTTATGCAATACCAGCAACCACCTCCCAACTGGGCCCATCAGGGTACTTTAACACAGAGCTGTTGGGAGTCTTTTATCTAAGCAGAGACTCAGGTTTAATATTCTTTACCAGTCTTAATGAGACTCTGAATTGCTTTTTAATTCAAGACTATGGCCCTAATAACATGTCTTAGTGGTAGAGATAATAAGTATTAGAAGCTTAGAGATGATTTTGTCCTTATAAAATCAAATTGTCAAGATTGCCTTGATGAAGGAGTCAGGTTATGAACATCTGAGAAGATAG